ATTAAAATTTCAAGGGAATAATCGACAATTATGATTTTTGTCATACTCGTGCAGCCCTAATGGCAATACTTTATGAAGTCATTATTTAAAAAAAAGATGTTTCTGCTTGCTCTCAATGAAATCAGCTTTACTCTCTTAAAATATAACCATTTACAACAAAAGAGAATAAGTATAAGCATTGTTTTTTTTTTTTACAAACTCGTTCATAATGCTGATGCTTGTTCTCTTTTGTTGAATTTTAACAAGTACAGAAAACATTAATAATGGCAATACTTTATGAAGTCATTTAAAAAAAGATGTTTCTGCTTGCTCTCAATGAAATCAGCTTTGCTCTCTTAAAATATAACCATTTACAACAAAAGAGAACAAGCATCAGCATTATGAGTATCAGCATCAGCATCCTGATGGATTCAAACTGTGTCAGTTCAGTTTTGCGGGGTCATGCTGGTGGTGTAGAGGTACGAGACGGTTCCAGCCTGGATCTGGAAGGTTTGGCCCTGAATCTGATCGCTGGGGATCTGCTCGCTGGTCTGGCTGATGGAGATGGGCTGCCCGCTCTGGCTGCTGATGTGAATGCCTCCCGCTGGACTCGTCTGGCTGGGATTTTCAGCAGAGCTCTCAGACAGTTGGTGGATCACCTGCAGCTGTTGTGGACCTCCGTGATGAACCTGCAGTTGCTCCATGGCTTCTTTGGTCAGCGTGATGACATGCATTTGCTCTGGCTGTCCGCCGCTCACCTGACTTCCTAAAACGCTGATGGTTTGGATTTGAGTACTGGCATCTAATCCATCTGGCGTGACCAGCGCCAGGTTTGGGACGTGACCAGAAGGTTGGGTGAGAAGCGTGAGACCCTGTTCCACAGAAGTATCTTCTGCAGTGATGATGCTGATACTTTGATCCTGGCACAGGTTGATGTTGTTCACCACCAGCTGGATCTCCTGCTCGGGGTGGGTGGGAAGTTGGTAGGGCTGGAGTTGGAGGATGTTGCGCATTTCTTCAGCTCCTGACGTGGCCTCCACCGGCGCAGGCCCCGTGGTCTCAGCTTCTCCTTGTTGACGCTCCTTGTTGTGAGTCTTGGTGTGAGCTTTAAGGTTGTCCATGCGGGCAAACGACAGGTTGCAGATGGAACACGTGAACGGTTTTTTAC